CTTACAGCCTGTGGTGGGAAGATATATTTGTGTTTTCTTCTTGGGTTGCTACTATATCAGTAGCCTTACATTTGTTACAGTAGATTGCTCAGCTTTTTGTAGATTGTTTTATAACTGTCCCCCAACATTTGGATGTCAGTGACCATTTGCCTACAGATTTCAGATTACAGATTAGTTAAGGTCAGAGGAGACTTCTATGAATTTATCAATGATGATGCATGCTACTACTGAAAGTCTTTTGTGTGTTACCTCCTTCTATGCATCAAAGGACAATGAAACTTTCAGAGATGTTCATATAGTTTCAGAGCTTTCCATTACACTTCCCAAGAGCAGAGTCTTATTTGTAAATTGTTTTTGTTGGACTTTTTTAAAGGAATGCTTAAAGGTGTGAATAAATGTGATTTTTGTTTCTGGACTTGATTTGTATATTGGGCATTGGTCAGTGGATTTCCATTATAACTAACAGTGTTACATTTTACTTTTTGGTGTAGAGAAGAGGAGTTTATTGCCATATGTACATGTACACTAGAATCCTTAATCGCACTGATCTCTCGAGACATACACAGTGCAATAGACAGCACCACACATTGTAGACCAGGGGTGGGCAAACATTTTTGGCCCAAGGGCCACATACAATTTTGAAACTGTATAGAGGGCCACTTCGCGTTGCTGTTACAGAAAGCCTATGCCTTTATACATAGTTTATACATAGTTTAAAATCCAACATAGGCTTATTATTTCAAGGTTAACGATAACCTGAGTGAAAAAAAACCCTATATTTTAAATATAAAAACTGAATAAAACTTGATGTTCAACTCACAAGCCAAGTCTTCACCGATTACCTCGACCCCATGGGTAACTTCCGAGTGATAAACTTATTTTCTCAAATTTGCTCTTGCTCTCTTGACAAAGAATATCTGTGGTTTCTATCATACACTCCTTCAAAAGCTCCCCTTCAGAGAGCAGCTTGCTTTGTTTAGCAATTTTATATGCAGGCAGGTAGCTTGCCTTTGTGTTGGCCTCTTGGATAGTAGAAGGGTGGAAAATTCCTTTTTGTTGGGCTTTTAACTTGTGGGTTGTTTTGTAGGCCGGTTTGGTGGTTTTGTTAGCATGTTTGGTATAAAAATGCTAACTGAGATTTTATTCTTTGAACACTGCAACACTTTCCTTACAAATTAAAAACATATAGTCTTTATTCTAACCTCTGTGAAAAAGTATTTTGCTGTCCATTCTTTGTTGGACACTCTGTATTCACTGTCAACTTTCTATCCACTCATTTTGGCACAGGATCCCTCACAGTACGATGGACCCACTCTGACTGGTGAATCAAATTGGTAAAGCAGGGGTTCCAGAACTTTTTGGGTCCATGCCACGCTTGACCTGTCAGGTTTTCCACATGCCTCTCCTGTCTCAAAAATACGTTCTATGGCAGTGCAATATTTTACAGAAGATCAAGTAATATGTTTATTCCATGCTGAAAAAAAGAGGAAGGAAGGTTTTTGGTTTTTACTTTTGAAAGGTTTCCCAAAGGTTTTAAATTTTGAATTGGAATTGTTGGTTCAAATTAAAACCACGTTTGTTCCGATTTTTTTTTTTTTTTATTCTTTTTCAAACCCAAATTCTTTTTTGTTAATTAGGTACTTTTTAATAGTCGTCATCTTTTTTGTCTGCTGCTAATTTGACTTAGTAACAAAATTAACATGAATGCTTTTTATAAAGGGGGAGGAATACAGTGTCTTTTTGTTTGTGCCTCTTAATGGGTAGGTGGGCTTGTTTAATACATTTTTTAAATAATTTACCAAAAATACTGGGTAGTATTTTTGAAATGGCAACGCGCATCTCCTTCTCAATATGGACCCTTGATCTGTACTTGGATTTGATAACTGCAAGTGCTGAAAATCCAGCCTCACAAAGGCAGGAAATTGCAAAGGGAAGCAGAATTCACAGGGCTCTGTTGCTTATTCCTTGGTACTCCAATAGTATGAGTTTTTTTGCTTTGTGCTACTCGGTACGCAACTTGGTATGGTGAAAGAAGAACTTTGCTGGGGACTGTAGCTTGGTTAGAAAAAGTAGCTTTCTGTTCATTCATTTAACTTGTGCAAAAAATACTCTCAGCAGCCAACACTTTAAGGACGCTGAGGACATTCTTCAGTGTCCAGAATTTTGCATGTGAAACAGAAATTCAAGGAACTGTCGTCATACTCTCTGTATTTGGTTTCCATTTCTCTTTATAACTAGGCTCCATGTCCTTCATGTTTTCTACTCATATTTAAAAACCTCTCCATTGCGATCGTGTAACAAAAAACTCACAAAATTACCACTCATACTAGAAACATGAAGCACCGAAGCCGCGGTCAACTGCTACTTACAGACTGCCATCTCTCTTGCCTACATTGTACATTGTTTTAAAAAACATTTGAAAACATATATTTTTGATTTAGCTTTTAGTTAATGGTTCTTTGTTCTTTCTATTTATATTTCTTTTTTTATTTCACTTTTATTGTTTTTATTTTATTAGGACTTTCCTCGTTTTTATTTATTTCTTTTTCAAGCATAAATTGACATTTATGTTGCTTTACTGTATTACTGTGTTTTTCTTTACAACTGAAAGTATATCTCTGAATTTTAAGATTTTATTTTTACGCTTGGTTTGTAAAGCGCTTTCAGCTGCTATTTGTATGAAAGGTGCTCTATAAATAAAGTTTATTATTATTGCCTAGTGTCATGTGACACAATCTAGCTAGGTAGCGCGCAACTCGTACATTCTGTCTGCATGAACAGCCGGTTTTGCTTGTAATACATTTTTTCTTTGGCTGGCGATACCTGCGACACCCCTGACTGACAATGGCACCTCCCCAAGGTGGCGCGATGCAGTTTGGAACCACTGTGGTAAAACGTTTGTGCGGCATCTAATGGCAATAATAATGAAATGTAAGAAAAAATAGCACCAAACAAGGTGGAATATGGCAAATATTGACTCATTTATTTTTGTATTATTTCTCAAAGGCTGGTTAAAACTGTTTGCCCACAGGTGATGTAGACAGTACATTCAAACATAATAAATAATAACTGGAACAATAAATATATTGTGGGACAATAAATATGTAGTAGTGAGAGGGGAAAAAACATGGTAGACCATGCAAAAAGTACAAAGTGCAGACGTGCATTGAGTCTGAGGCTTTAGAGTTAGCTTTTGAGGATGTGTACTGCTGTAGGATAGAAGCTGTTCTTAAGCATAGTGGTCCCGCTTGCCAGAGCGCAGGGGAGAGAACAGTTTGTGGTGGTTGGGATCCTGAATGATGGATTGGGCTTTATTGCGTCTGATTGATAGATCACATCCTATAATCCTCTGTGCCGTTGCCACAACCTTTTGTAGTGCATCTCTGTCATGCAATGTAGTACTGCTGTACCACACAGTGATACCACTAGTGAGGACAATTTCTATGGTGCTGCAGTAGAGGTTCATGAGGTAACTGCTTCCCCATACTGCATTTATTTCAAGGATGTTTCAGGTAGTCATCCAATCCATATTCCATTCTGTTTTGTGACATTTTGTTCTTCCTGTTTCATCAGGGGTATCCGTAAACCTGCTGTACAGTGTGTGTATTAAAACTGTTTACCAATTGTTCCTGTTAGTGTGTGACTGTGACTTCACTGCTAGGAAGATCCTGCATGACCGAGATTGATACTGTGTGTGATATGTGACTGTATGGCCTCTTCCTTTGGCAGCCCAAGAGTGCTGAGCAGAGGGACAAGGTGAAGAAAGCCAGTACAGAGGGCATTTCGGTCCAGGGCCAGCAGGGCACCAGGCTCCTCCCAGAGCAGCTCCTCGCAGAGGCCTTCATCCTGAGTGACCTCTTCAACATCGGAGAACTGGCTGCCCTGGAGCTTCTCCTGGCAGGTATGGGGTCACCACAGATGGGTTCCTGACCCAGTGACTGGCTACTCAAGAAAAGTACTGCCATCCACACAGATGCAGCTCTTCTGCCCAGCTGGGTCTGCACTTACCTATTAGAGCCGGAGAGCTCCATCACACTCACTGGATTGTGGGAAAGATTCTTTGTCAGTGGGAAAGGGTTGAGGCTTGATGCTATAGATTGAGGGGTTAGAGCAGGTCGTGTTGTCAGTGGATGCAGTGATACATGAATGGCCATAGGTAGGTGAATGTGCACTTTGCATTTTGTGGCCATCTGGAGCTGTTCTGAACTGCCAGAGTTAACGGCCAGGCTACCGTAGGTTTTACTGTGGTGTTTTTTGGTTGTAGGTCCTTTGAATTTATCGCTGGAAGTAATCTTGGAGAGACTGATGCTCTGCCAAGTAAACTACTGAGCTGCAGCACATTTTCTTTTTGAGATTCTGTAATGGCAAAGTTTCCAAATTTGTTTGTCTGTATACCAGGAGGCACAAATCGAATTTCATATTAAACAGACAAGATGAAGTGTCCAAATGTTTCAACTTTGCTACATTATTCTTTGAATATCATGTCATGAGAACATGTTTTAAACTTCTATTAGAAGAAAAACATGAGTTTTTTATCGGGGAAAAAAGAAGACTGTTTCAGTGTTTTGGTTTTTGGTATTTGTTTTTTACTGTGTTCTTAATAACTGTGTGATTTTAATATTTCCAGTTGCTACTTCTACTTATTAAGACTGTTAAAATCTTAATAAGTGCAGTTCAATTATACTATGTTGTGTTAAGGATGTGTGTTCCAAGCACAATGCTTTCTCACTGTGTCTGAATGCTGACATTTTTTTCTTTGCTTTGATCTCTCTGTTGGCTCCGTGCGCAGGGGAGCACCAGCAGCCCCATTTCCCTGGCTTGACCCGAGGGCTGGTGGCCGTGCTCCTGTACTGGGATGGGAAGAGGTGCATCGCCAACTCGCTGCGCTCTCTCATTCAGTCCCGCCATGGAAAGACCTTCACTCTGGAGCTCAGGTTTGCCTGAACCCACTCTGGTGTCATACCAGCCTCACGTACTTCCAGGGAATCATAGCAGTATAAACCACAGGCCTCCTATCCAGTCTGGTTTATTTGAATACACAAACAAAATCTATTAATAATTACTTAAACTTATATAGCGCTTTTCTGGACACTCCACTCAAAGCACTTTACAGGTAATGGGGACTCCCCTCCACCACCACCACAGTGCATGTGTATGATGCGACAGCAGCCATAGTGCGCCAGAACACTCACCACACATCAGCTATCAGTGGGGAGAAGAACAGAGTAATGAAGCCAATTCATAGATGGGGATTATTAGGAGGCCATGATTGGTAAGGGCCAATGGGAAATTTGTCCAGGATGCCAGGGTTACACCCCTACTCTTTTTCGAGAAACACCCTGGGATTTTTAATGACCACAGAGAGTCAGGACCTTGGTTTTACGTTTCATCCGAAGGATGGCGCCTGTTTACAGTATAGGGTCCCCGGCACTATATTGGGGCACTAAAACCCACAAGGACCGCAGGGTGAGCGCCCCCTGCTGGCCCCACTACCACCTCTTCCAGCAGCAACCTTCGTTTTTCCCAGGAGGTCTCCCATCCAGGTACTGACCAGGCTCACACCTGCTTAGCTTCAGTGGGTTGCCAGTTGTGAGTGATATGGCTGCTGGCATGAGGACTTAGGGTTTTTTTTGCAGGATAATTTTGGTTTCTGTAGTCTTTCTGATGTATGAGTTCGGAAAACATGTTCCCTGAAGCGGTCTCTGAGTCTCATGTTAGGGCTGTGAAGATTAAAGATCTCTCCAAGCCCATTGTTTCTCATTTTACGGCCACAACCACTCCAATCTCTCCATCTGTGTTCTCAAAGACGGTTTTCCGAACTCATACATCAGAAAGACTACAGAAACCAAAATTATCCTGCAGCTAGGATCACACCTTCCCCCTTCCCTTAACAACAGACTACTTTTCTTCTAAGTTTTCTCTATTCATTGGAGGTTTCATTTCACACCTCTCTTCACCTATTCTGACTTCACACTACCTAATTGGCCACTCTGTCAGTCCCCTGCTCCCGCCTCTCACTCCTCCGGCTTTTGTTCTCCCGCTACATTACCTTTGCTTACTGCCCTGTCTTTCTCACACCTGAAGAAGGCTGCACGGCTGAAACATTGTGTTTTCTTTCTTCTTTTTTTCAACATGGAATAAACTTATTACTTGTATCTTTTAATATGGCTGTTTTAATGATTAACAAATGAAGTTATCTTTGCTACATTATTGGGACTCACTTTCATGATTTCTTCCTTTTGCCCTGTTTGTGTTGAAAGCTTTTTTAATATTTTCCATTGTCCCAAACTTTCAAAACAGCCACCAAGCTAATCCCAGTTTAAACTTAGCTTTCCTATTTCACTGCAACAATAAGCTACAGGGCCTGAATGACAGATATCATATTTTTCGGGGGGGTGTACATACTAATATTGTGAGACACCATGCATAAATTTAAATGTTTTTTTCTTCTATGATTTTGTGAAGAGAATATTTTTCTAGAAGACATGGTTTTATTAATACCCTTTATAAAGAGGATTCTCTTAAGGATTGTTGGTTTATTTTGTGTGCAAGCAGCTCAGAGCTGGTGTCCATCACCACGCGCTTCACAGATGACCTGATGAGTCAGGGCCTGACTGGGAAAATCCTGGCCCTGATTTCAGAAATCAGTGTCACCAAGGAGTTTGAGAAACTACAGAAGGAGCGCGGCCTGGGGAATGAAAAGCACAGAAAGGAGGTAAGAAGATGTGTCTGAGTAACGACCTCTGGTTTAACACAGTGACACTTTTTCTAACCTTGGCAATAGTCTTTCACGTGTGGATCTAGAAGACAAAGCTTTGTTTCTGTCAAATACATGGAAGGCACTGCTATCATATGATATCATCTATTGCATCATGAATGTAGGACAGCTTTCCACAAGCTCTTTAAGTGCTGTGTAAGACACAGCACTTACACTTTGCCTGTATGTGGTCTGACCTGCCACAAGTACTGTACTGGATTCAGAGTGAGGAAGATACAGTAAATGCATAGGAAAAAGAAGGAGCAATTTCCTGAATATACTACTCTAAGATTAATAGTGAAACAAAGTAAACTGAAAAAAGATGTATGTGTTTTCCTCAAATTACCTAAGTTGGTTTATTTCACCCGATAAATCCTGTCCGCATTGTACATTTCCTGCTTGTATGGCTGAGAGTCCTGCTTGACCCCTGGGGTCCCAGTCCTAGTGAGAAATAATGAACTGGTGATTCCAGTTGGTTGAGTATAAAACCAAAAATACAAAAGTGAGTTTTAAAAAAGATCAGTGTTCTTCATAAAACACGAGGCCACAATGAATTTTTGAAAGAAAAAAAAAGACTCTTGACAGGAAATAATTGCATTTTGTTGTTTTTTTAGGTACAAATAAGTCTGCTCAGATTATTATGTTTTGTAAATCGTTGCAGAAATAAGGATGTTTGCAAAACCAGATCCTATGCCAGTGCTTCTGTGCCCCCACTCTCCCAGGTGTCTGATCTGATTAAGGAGTGCCGCCAGTCGCTAGCAGAGTGCCTTTTTGCCTGGGCCTGTCAGTCGCCTCTCAACAAAGACGACACCCTGGCTGTCATTGGCTACTTGGAGAATGTGACAACAGAGGCAGATGGTTCACTGGACAGCGTGAATCTGGCACTTGTCATGGCCCTGCTATACTGTCTGGATGTCAGCTTTCTGGAGCAGGGCACTGAAGACAGGGAAGGTGCGTGTATAACAGTGGGTCTTGGTGTTGCCAAAATCCTATCTTTAATAAGTGGCCAGACGTCCGTTTTCCTTTTTTTTTATTTTCTATTGAATTTGTATAAACTGGTTGGATGCCACAGGTGTTGTAATCAAACAAGGAAGATAAAAGGCCCTTCTGTTAATCGTAGCTTGAATATTGTAGCCAGCATCTGTTCCTCAGGATTTTTCCTAATACTAAGTGATCAAAGAATACAAAACAATTCTGCAAAATGTTATCTTTAAAATACCAGATGCAGATTCATTCTGCATCTGTGATTCTTACCCTTCTATGGCTGCAATCATTAAGGATAAATGTATTAAGACTATTATTACAGTTTTGATGCACAGTTAGCTTTCAAAAAAGTATGTCCTTGTCATCCAACAATGATTGGAAACCTTATTTTATTGTGTGTTGTTTTGTTGAGTATTTTGATCCTGTGCCCTTGTGTCAGTCGCTCATCTAAATGGAAACAATAAATGTACTGTATAACCTGCAAACCATGAAAGTTCTAAAGCTAAATGATAGTCATACAGCAGTAACATACAGTACCCTTCAGATTTATTCATACTTCCAATGAAATGGGAACAAAAACAAAGATTTACTTGGTGGAAAATGTTTTCCTGTAAAATGTTACACTGTAATCATAACTTTATAGCACAGTGATATTTGTCTTGTCTTGGAAAACCCGAGTTAGATTGTGGTTCAATCTCAAGACGGCACTTCAAATACCTAGAGTAAGTTCCTGGAGGACCGGTTAGACTTGCCCCTTCAGAAGTGCCAGACAGGAGGCTAAAAGGAGGATTTACAAAATTGTAGTGAATTCATGTGTATTATGTTAAGGAGTCTTAAGGAAATCCAAGTCTATGTCCGGTATCACTCATAGAAATATTCTGTCTATACCGGAAGATGAAAATGGCAGAGGATTGAATGGGACAGCTCTTAATTTCAAGTAACACTGCGCTCGAGGAACACAGGATAAATTTTTTAAAAATCTGGATCAGTTCTATATTCTGCCTGTTAATGGAGCAAGAGCTTGGCAGGCTCTGACGTTGCCGTCGCTTTGCTCTCTCGCAGATCTTATCCAGGCCCTCCCGCTGCTGACGGAAAAGGAGTATGTGGACGCCATTTACAAACGCCTGCTGGACTCCCGCTCCTGGAAGCTGCCTGGCCTGCAGGCTGTGGTGAGACTGGCCTGGGCCCTGGCACTCCGTGCCCTCTCCCAGCTGCCCCAGGGCACAGGTACCACACATTCACTGCTCCCTGGCAAACTAATCCATAAGCGCGTAACTACTGTTACACTGCAGCTTGGGGATTGACATTAACCTCAGTCCTAATGGATGTTGCATTGCGTTATATTGTAAAAATCGCTTGAGTTAACATATTAGTGTTTTAGAAAATATCACTATTTATCTTTTACATTTGTCTATTTTCGAATCTGTCATAAGTTGTTTATATCTGTTTAGCAGCAATACAAATATTAAAATTATTGTAACCCCCAAATGTCTTTTTTTTTACTTCATTCATCTCTACTGAACTATGCGTTTGTCCTCTGTGAGGATAAGGTTTCAGGCATGTTTGTGTCTCGTTCTCCCCAGCTCTGGTGGAGTTCACCGAAGGGGATGAGACCCTTGCAGATCTAGCCATCCAAGACAACGCTTTCCTCTTCATAACCGAGGCCATGCTGGGCTCAGAGGGCTTTGGACAGGAGGAGTTCTACACTCGCCGCATGCATTCCCTCTTGACCGACTTCTTGTCCCTCATGCCCATGAAGGTGAGATCACTGGCAGAGGGAGACATTTTTTGAGGAATCCCAGTCTGGTGATATGACCAGGGCTCCAACCTGCAAATCTTAACTTGCCCTTGGTGAATGTATTTACTGATTCAGCCAATCTGTTTGCCCCTGAAAAACAAAGTTTAATTTGGATCAGTCTTGCAAAATAAGACCATTTGGATCTTGTATGTCATCCCAAAAGCACAAAATATATTATTTTCCCTCCTTAAATTTACAGTTTAGACCTAATGGCTTTTCACATTTAGACTTTTTTTAGTACTGTATCTTTTCTAGGAGTGAAAGTAAAGTACTGAACAGCCTATCAACATACTGTAGCACACAGGTTTATTGCTTTCAATCCAAATTAGTTTGAGACATTGTGTAGAAGACAAGTGATAATGAGTGTCATCTGTGAGGCGAGAGAGTTACCTTGTCGGTCTCCGTTGTCTTGATGGTGTGCTGGTGAATCCAGGTGAAGCAGCTGAGGAACCGGGCTGATGAAGATGCCAGGCTGGTCCACATGAGTCTGCAGATGGGCAGTGAGCTGCCGGCTGCCCTGCGCAGAGATCTGGAGCACCTCATGATTCTGGTGAGTCTGCTCTCTCATGGTCATGCACAGAGATGTCCACATTTTATACATCTTACTCTTTTGGGTTTGTTTGTGGTGTGAAAGCCAACTTGCACAGGAGCTAAGTTCAGTGGAGCTGCTTTGACACAATATAAGATCCATATTGCTCTCCTGTGCTGTTGAAGAACAAGAAGACCTTTTGCCGATTTAGATTTTATTGATGTGAGGAATTTTTCAGCTTGACATATTACATAGTACTCAAAGTTTTTTAGAACATGCTTTAAAAATAAATATGTATTTTACACTTTTAAATATTAGAATTTATAATGCCATACCATTTCTTTCCATTGTTGAGAATCTCTGGGATACTTTGACTTTCCATCAAAATACATTATATAATAAGTATGGAGTTAAACACAAACTTAAACGTACAAGTGAAAAGAGTTGCAGCTTTGAGATGTATAAGGAATTGTAAAAAAAAAAATACAGGTGTCTCTGCGTTAACGTGATAGATGCGTTCCTTTAAAATCACGTGTTATGCAAAAATTGTGCGTTAAAAATAACAGGGCTTATGGGAAAAATAGGGTTAGGGACAGACCACTCAAAACCTAACCAAAGCTTTACTAAGCTCATTGGTTAACCTAATAAAAAATGTTTACACAGTTTAAATTTATATTAATATATTAAATTTATATTGTAGCATATATGGAACGGTTCACGAGGGCAACAACAAGACATTTAGACACATCTAGCACTCTTTATTACAGGCCTCCATCAGCCTGTTACCAGGCAAGAGAAACCATAAACCCATCGAACAAAACTTAAACATACAAGTGCAGCAAAGGGAACACCTACTCACAACTGTGCCAACATTTATATCTAGTTTCTTATATCTAGCCTCACTGAAAAACTGGTCTTGCCAATAGAGATCTCTTCTGATGTTCTCTATTTATAGAGTAAAACCTCATTGAACCAGCTGCATCAGATCGCTCTTTTACTTTTATTTCCTCTCTAATGTGTCCTTAAGGCACCTTCTTATGGCTAAAATCACAAATGACAACTCAGAGATAGCTGTTCTGCTAGATTACAGCAGTTTGAGTAAGATCTGGCTGTTGGAATGTAGTAAGGAAACAAAAAAAATCTAAGATCCAAACCCACTGTTGCGCTCCTGCATTGTTGCACGTTTCTCTTGTAGTAGTATGGAGAAAGTATGGTGTTCAGTGTATTGCGATCTTTGTTTTTCGGCCCTCAGATCGGCGAGTTCTATGGGAAAGACCCCTTTAACCTGGAGCTGGCCCTGGAGTACTGGTGCCCACTGGAATCCATCCATCAAAGCTCCACCTTCACAGGCTCGTACCTGGGAGTGCCACACCAGAGGCCCCCCCACAAACAGGTGTGCCAGCTACAGCAATCCCAGCATGCCCTGTAGAATCGAGTATGGTTGACCGTAGCTATTAAAGCTACTTACTGCCTTCTAAGTCAATTTTCCTATAGGCATTGGACATTTTGGAAACAAAATGACTGATTTTGATAGTGTTGGACCACTTTAAAGCAAATGCCTTTGAATTAATTCAGACTTTTCATAGCACATGCTTTCAATATGAAAATCCTCATCCTAATTCTTAATAGATGTCCTCCTTCATCCTCTTTCAAATTGATATTGAAATCTGTTGCCAGTATTTAATTGATAAAAAAGTGTGCAAATGTGTGCCCATGAATCATTTGTCATTGACTGTTTCCAACTTCATTTGGGTGTAA